ATGCCATTTATCCTGCCAAGTGAGATTATCCTTTATTTGGATGCTAACAAAATGGTTCTCGACATTTGCAATCCTGAGCCCTGTCAAAGATGTCACTTGAATAAACCGCTATATCGGGCCCTCATAACCAATTGTTCGGCCATTGATAGCGATTCTACAAAGAACTTGAATATCCTGAGTCTCACTGAACATAAAGACGATGTAGTGAGCCCCACGAAGCCCAATCGCGTACCGTACAGAGTTGTGGTAATCTCTGAGTTTTATACTATACGCCACTGAGGCATCTACTAGCACATTTGTTATCACTAATAGGGTATCTATAACGGTCCACAAAATCTCAATATTGGCCCAAATGATTCGATAATTAGTGGTCTTTGGGAAGCGACTTTCTAGCTGCTCTTATAGGTTGCGAATAAGAGTTTTGATATTTTCTCTTGGGTCGAGATTATCTGCCAATATATATTTGAACCCAAGCTCCCTCTATTGTTTGGGATAAGGGCTAACGGATAAGGCGTCATCAAGGTTGACAATATCTTCTTCTCGGTCGAGGAAGCAATAAATTCGTTAAATGGCCTCGGGGGGCAAAGGTATGTAGAGCGGACGTTACGTTTTCTCGTTACGGCTGGCTGTCTTGAAAGTCATGAACACATCGAGATCTAGGGTATGGGATTCGTCGTAAAAAGGGGCTTCTTATATAAAAGGAGAGAGGAGATGACTGTAGCTCTTAAATTGATCAATCCAAGCCTAGTCGAAATTGACTTTCCTAAAGATACGCTTGACGATCCGCTAATAGTAGTCGTGCATAGTTGTTTCTTGCGATCGCTCCTCTTCCGTTAAGCGAATCATCTTCATGAAATGACGGTGTATCGGTTATCCCGTTCTACTACCATCCTCCTCCGTCCCTTCCTCGAGCAGGTAATGCCACGTTTGAGCCGCATCCAGATCACATTGGCATAATGGACAGTAAATTGACGGATCTGTAAGAGGCATTGATGAATATTCAGCCTGATAAAATGTTATAATGTCAGTGGTTCCGCTCCTCCAACGAGTTGTCAGCCACTCACGTATCTTAATTGAAATGGGAGAAATAGAGCAATCTCGGTTAATCGTAAATGCGACCGGACTAACACAACCACCTAGCGAATAAATCCTCACGGATTGCATTTACCTTTAAAATCGGATTCACGGTTAGTTAACTAACTTATTCCGCGTTGGCTCTTCATTATACAAACAAATTGCTAAGGGTCCTTCAGATTACGTACGCCAACATTATTGTAGAGTCACGTGTATCGTCCCATTTTGGAATGGGGCGAGACACGATTGTATTAGAGCTCAGCGTGCGTTCGCCGTCACTTACTCCCACACACGCCGTTTCTTATATGAAACCTTACTTACGATATAATTACTGTTCTTCTAGGAATAAAACTAAGCATTCTAATATTCGATTAGTCCTCGATCTGGCCTACTCTCATTTGCCTAGGCGATCTTCAGCTTTAAGTCCGGGTGCTCCTTTTCTCATTTGTGATTATATGCCACTCCTTCCTACGCAGCTGTCCTTATATCTGTAGTCCGCAAAGACCCTAGCTTTCTCCCTTTGTACTATCGAATAGCCTTTCCCTTCGTCGCCCACCATGACACTATTGTAGCCGAGTTCGACTGAGAAGACCTTTCGCGAAACCCACATCGCTTAGGTAAGAATCGAGCGGAAGAAAAAAATCTATACCATTCGGGGATTTCTGGAATGTAGCAGTGAATCTGGACATTATAAGCCTCTAGTGTAGCCTATATCTCGCCCCCTAAGGGCTCCTTATGAATAAGCCTAGCTAAATTTGTTCTACGCTAGGTATCCTTAAATCTACGGTATCGACTAGGCCTAGCCAAACTCAAATACCAATATGGTCCGCTTAACGGCTTGTACTTAAGCCAGCCCTTAGACGGCCACAAGCCCCTCGATATCTCGGAGTTTCTACGTAGTCGTTGCGGAACCCTATTGACTTCTCCGCCTCTCCGAGCCTCGACCTACTAGGAACCACCTCAATCATCCTATAATAAGCATACATTCTCCCTCAACTCTCTAGTGATACAGCCGATAAGTTTTGCCAGCTGTAAGCGTCTTTAGTCGGATCCAGCCTTAGTGCGCCCTAAAAAGGCACCCCGAGTCTCGCGGAAGAGCTCTTATAGGCTGGCAAAATCATCTCCTGGCATGTAGGGGCATCTTACAGCCTTTATGGTTGCGGTTTTAATTCTAGAAACACCGTCTGTCTTTTATCAACCGTCTGACGAAGAAACCAATTCTGAGCTGCCGCTGCCTAGTCACTAGAATGCGAGCTCGAAGATAGGCTCCTCTCCACCACTAATTTCTCCCCGAAAGCACTTACGACTAGCACGAACCGGCCGGTATATCGAAGAAGCGAATAGGTCAGACTTATCACCGTATATGGTCGACTCCCCCTCCCCCGCCTAGATACTTGGAAGCAATTAGGTCTTCCCCCCTTCCATTACTCTAAGTTAGTATGCAGTCTTGCCATCAAAGACTCCTATACTAGATGGCGATATGTTTGCGACCCTAGGAACTTCGAGCCCATAGTTCAATTTCGCCGATTTCGTGAATCTGACTCCTAGCCCGATATAGGCATCTTGGGACACCCGCACGCCTGACAATCCTCTTCGCACCTAGCCACTACCAAGTAGACCCGAAAATCATTGAGCATAAGCTTCGAGACTCTTTATCTGTGGCGGGGAGTCTAAAAGGGCTCTGCAGCTTGTTATCAAAGTGCGGCCTCGAAACTCCACCTTTAACCTCCCTTAGCTCTTTATTGGTGCCTTAACTTCGCTCTGATTTACTCAGTATGTAGCTTCGGAGAGATAGTGCGATTCTCTACCCTAGACGGTGCTGTTACTGCTTATACCACGAGCTATTGGTCGCTCCGTTTCCGCTGCAATATAAAGCAGACCCTGGTATTGTGGTGGAACACACAAAGGCTCGCCACCCAGAATGGCTCGATATCGTCATGGCACATGGAACGCGTCTGGACATTGCACGCAGCGGGTACGGTCAGACCCCTGCATGCCTACGCGTCGAAGTGCCAGCTGGGCGGTCTTTCGCTGGTCCCGCCGTTTGGTGCTAGGTCCATCTTGTCTTTTAAGCCCAGACTAGGTCTCAACGAACTAGACCACTTCCTGTAATGCTCCTTACCAGGACCCTGTTCTTTTGTCTGAACACAGTCATCGTTTACATTACACGATGAATGCATCCAAAATGTACCCGATGCGGCGTTTATACTGCCCTAGTACAGCGAGTGTTGGTATGGTGTCGCGCTCTGACGAAAAAGTAATGAAAACGGTAAAGGTTCGCTCTACAATTTGTTTTATTTGAAAAGCTCTGGTAGTCAAGTACAATTTATATGCGCACTCAGACTGCGAGGATACCGTCCCGTTCATATATCACATGAATATTCGAGACTTTGGGTCTTTTCCTAAACCTGGCTACCAAACGAAATGCAGCCATACTTTCGCGAATGTGTATGCCGCGGCTCGAATGAATTAGGTCCCCATGACTCTCCTGCAGATGTCTTCGCAGCCCTACGTGTTGCAGTCTAGACATTAAATAATTGTTATTTCTCAGGGAGTACGTGGGACTAAATATAAGATATGAGGCTCAAAATGAATTTTGATATATTTCGTTCTTCGTGAAGGTTGTGAAGATGTTGTTTCCGATGATGCGGCTTCATTCCTGATCTGCACCAGCCTCATATTGCAACACATACCCTATCCAGTGCGCCTCTTGCGGGAAAACTTAACGCTGGTATCTAGAGGAAATGTCGCTAGCTTGAGTAGAGATGGACAGAGGATTTGGACCCGTCCGCTTGAACCGGACAGTCTGTCGAGATTGTGGTAAAAAACGCATTCGGTCGTGGAAGACCCTTGAGTTTCATACTCTGCAAGGTCAATTTTGTTAAGAACCTGCCGCGGATCATCAGGGTCACTGCGAGACAGGAAGGCGGTATCGGTATGCCAGAACATTCATGCTAGATAACTAGCGTAAAAGGCGGATCCAAAACGTAGTGTAATAATGTTAGGACAAAATAGCCATTGAGGCAACGGATACAGACCATTTTTAGCCGAGTCATTCATATCCGTCAAAAACTCGCTGTCGAAGCCGCTGTAGAAAAAAAACAGAGGTGTATAAAGTAGCGATTTAACGAGGGTTGGGAGGGATGGAAAGCTGGGGGCTGAGCAGATTTCTCTCTGATTACAAAAGGTCAGGACAAACTAGGAGGGATTTATAAGCCAGATGATAAGTTCTCGAATGCGTTAACAGCCGTGAACCGTTGGCACCCCGTCACCAAACCCAACGAAATTCCACTAGTGGTTGCATGAGCCTCGTCTAAGACCATCGCTGGTCTTTAGGAGACGACGCAAATAGATATCGGAAAAATCTAATGTTATTCTTCTTGCCCGCAAACGTTTACGTATCTAACGGTAAAATTACAGATAACCTTTTTCAAACCAATGCACTCCTTGAGCTCTGCGGCGGTACTTTCTCTCTTCACCACCTCTCCACCTCACCATCTCTCCGGGGGTCAACGGCGATTAAGATGACTTGAGTTGATGTTCTATTGAGGGAAATAATAACTCTTGGCCGAAAAGAAAATCTATGGAAAAGTTGGCGAGGAAATGGAACCTAGTGAATCCCGTGCTGTGGGCTCTAGCCGTTGAGATAACAATACTATTAGGGAACATGACCTGGTCAGTTTTACGCCCCTCACTTCCAAAAAGACTTACGGAGTTTTAGCGAATCACGACAACACTCATCATGGACACAGTACGGGTATAACATTCAACGCTCGCAAAATCACGCTCCTTTTTTGAAGCCCTCCTGAGATAAGCATCCTACAAGTGCCCCCTGTAGATTCGCCTCTTCTTATCGCAGTTTTGCCCATCTCCAGCCCTGATCAATATATTACTCCGTCTACATTGTCTTACACTCTATTCCCACCATGAAGTCCATTGTTTCCCTAGCCGCGTTCGCTGGTGTCTCTCTAGCACAGAATTCCATCATCGGCCTTCCTACCGCTGGTCAGAACCTCACCAAAGGCAGCAACGTGGTCATCCAGGTTAAGCGTCCTGTATGTTGCCTCTAATACAGACTCAAACTGCAAATGTCTAACTATTCTAACATGTCGACTAGAACTCCTTAACAGGCTCTACCGAGATTGCTGTTATGATTGGAATTTCGTCCTGCGTATCTACTGCTTGTCGACCTGCAGGTAAGGTTATGGGTACTATTCTTTACCATGGGGACTTCGATCCTCAGTACTACGAGGCTAGCCAGCCTCCCTATCAGAACTTCACTATCACAGTTCCCAACTTGATTCCTACTGGGGATGCGCAGATCAATATTGCCCATGTCGCTCTTGTCGGAGTGAGTATAATCTGACACCTATGGTTTAGCGTTTATTTGCTAAACCCTTGATTACAGGCAGGGGCTTTCCCCTACCTGGAGACTCTGAACCGCACCGTAGTCGTGATCTGACCCACTGAGATACACATTCTCAGACACGACGGCCCTCTCATTCAAAAAAGACAAAAGCAGTTGAAAGTACCTAAAATGCTCAGGATTCTTTCTAACAGGGACAATTCTTCCTCTTCCCGATGTTCATGACAATCCGGACGTGTGGATGGCCTTCGTTGCAGGATGCGGGGAAGATTAATCGAAATTGCTATAAATCATTAGGGAATCTACTGGCCCCCAGCCTGGGGAGATTGTCGCTTCTTTCGCTTTTATTAGGGTGTAGTTTTGTTAGCCAAACGAATGTGGTATGAAATAACAGATGGTACTCTTACTGTTTTAAGCTGTCAAGACCTGGATAACCATGGTGAGAGTCATATTCCTCACGGGTCACACACAATGGGCACAGCGGTCCGTACTGCTACATCTCCAGCGCAAACCCTCAAATGTATTTGCCATCTGACCGGGGCCCATCTGTACCCCTTATCCCCGTCCAAAACATCGGGCCGACATGTACACTGGACAGAACTTTGTCACGATCGATGGAAGGTTTAGTACAAAGAACGGTCCGACACACGCTGACTTAGCGGCCTTACCCAGCGTCTATTTACTGCTAAGCCCCTAAAAGAATGCCTTGCCTGCCACCGGTCTCAAGAGGGCTCGCTGATCCCTAACGTACTCTTCCAGTATCTCATGAGTGCTAGAGCTGGTTGTACTGCTATATAACCTATTTCTTCTCAAATATTGACGATTATTGCCTACGCAGAAGATCTACATCTAGATCCCCGAGTGGCTTAAGCCGTGTCTGGCATAGCTCCTCCAAGCGCATCGAGCTTGTACAATGAACTGTGTCCCCTGGTCGCCCACACGGGGCCAGCTTGCTACACCACCCTAGGACTATCCACCTGAAAGTTGGTATATTCCTTGAAGATGTGACCTATCGGTAAATTAGCCATACAAGGCCGCTCTATACCGTCGGACTGGGACTCAGCCGGGGAATCAGACGACCTACTCGTAAATTCTGTCTTCCACATCAGGAATCTCTCCAACTGGTCACTAGCTCTGCCATTCGCAGAAAGCTATTCGTGGCTAGTATATGTTACACGATAACAACCGATAGTGAGTGATCTGCAGCCACAATTACATTGTTGGCTTCGTCGTAGCCCAGCTGTTGGGGTATTGCTCTTTAACCTCTATATTCTTTATCCGAGACCCTGGACCACGCTGGCCTCGGTCTCCAAGGTGATTTATATGATATTGCGACTACCAAACGATGTGGATAGCTTTGAACTCGGTAAGCATTATTTGTATTGACTCTGCTCATCTGAATGTTACACATGTCGAATCAGTTCGTAGAAAATCGGATAAGGGGTTACTAGTATGCTGTAGTTGAGGGATTCTTAGGTTCGTAGCACGAAAAAGAACAGCCCTAGAGTGAAACAAATTTCAACTGTATCCAAGCCTATCCTGTTGTTTCTCGTCCATGATAATAGAAAAGTTGACACTTTAGCGCCATCGTACATCTCAAGCACCAGGGTCAATCTTGGCCAACATAGTCCAGTGGCCATCCTTCGGGCGTTAGCTGCCCACAGAATTCAGGGTTATAGACAGGTGCTGTCTTATCCAGGGTAGCCACATATCGATTGCGGCCCCTACGTTTCCCGTGTGTTGTATAGTGGGCTTTGAGGTTATCGCGACGCAAGAAGCCGCGTTGGCAGCCAGGTACCCAGCAAACATGAGGCCTCTCCCCTGAATGGCTTGCCAGGTGACGATTAAGGGTCTTTTGAAGTTTGAAATGACTCTCACATCCCCGAACGTCGCATTTGAACTGCCGTCGAGGGACGTTGGTTTGGGAACCTCCAGGGCTCAAATTGGCCGGATCCTGCGAGCTATATAATACATTGCCAGGCTGTCCGAAGGCTTGGCATGGTCCAGCAACATCATTCTGGCTATCGTGCCGCAGTTCCTCAAGCGGCTGTGGGTAGGGAGAGTTGATGTTCACTTGGTTTGGGAAAAGGCAAGTTTTGAAGAAACTCGGCGTGTAGTCAAAGTCGCCAGGAGGTGGCCCTAGCAGGAGGTGGTTGAATGATACTGAGGTATGCAGACATCCGAGCCAACGGATCACAGGTCGCGATCCGCAATGGATGGAACCTGGATAAATCGAGCAGCCTGATTGCCCTTGGTAGTGACCATCACAACCGCCTTCGTGCTTTTGTACCGAGTGAGGCGACGCCTGAGAAATAACTAGATCCCCGTGGTTTTGATGAAATTCAGTGCCAGGCCACTCGGCAGGGCCAGGAGCTTCGATTGCCTTTTGTTCGGCGCAGTCATGGCAAGGCATTTGTATGCCATTTGAGAATGCCAGATTATTTTGTCCATCTATTTGAGAGGATAGCGTGATTTGTTGTTCTATCTGTGGATTTCCACCCGTAAATAGCATATTTGCAGACATTTTTTGCAGACAGAAGAAGAAAGTAACAAACGGTAAAGTCCTACACAGCACTATAGATATGTTGTTCGGATGCCACGCTTAATTAGTCTGGGTGCAAGCATGGGATGCCGGGTAGAAGTATTCACCGAGTATTGACAAGCTAGGTGAGGTAAACAGAATCGACTCAGTAGTAGCGAATTCTGCGGCCACGCTTTCATCCTATAGAGTGAAAAGTGTGGCCAAGTTAATGTTCCCCATCCCACGGACAGCGTTGAATAACGGAAACCTGCTAATTTCTACGTTAGATTACGCCTTGATAGATTTTTTGACAACGATAGGGAGTTGATAGACGGAAAACCGTTGAGTAAACGGTGATCAGACGCCTGCGAGCTTTACTTCAAGACGGGGCGTTATCGCCACTCACAATCTCAAACATGGCGTGATGAGCGCCAGAGCTTGATACGACATTTATACGGACTTTCAACAGCCGTTAATGACCCTGCCTTCAACTCCTGCATACCAAGTGTGGCTACTCAAGGATGGTTGGTTCAATCTAACAATCATTATCAAAATGGGGATAAAGATGTCCAACAGCTCGCCAAAAACGAAACAGCCCTCAACACCAGTCACATTTCCGATTGCGTTGAACGATTCGTCCCACCACCGGAAGGATATGGGATCATCTGTTTACAAAATGGTAGTCTATAAGAGGGACCAGCACCAGGTAGAAAGCAAATTGTTCAACAATGGTTATTTGCCCGTGGAGAGATGGATGCCCCAAAGAACCCAACGGACCAGCAGCCGAGTGAAATCCCAATCCAGAGGGATAAAGCCCATCCACAGACCAAATCCGATCTTAAACCACCACTGGTAAACTGAGTGCAATGACACATTAACCATCACCATTCTCTCTTGCAGCAGGGTGCAAACCAGAAAGATATGCTGGCGAACGAGCGTTTTCAACAATTTTGGAGAAACTAGCGGATCTCGAAAGCGATGGTCCGAAACTCGCTTTTTTCAGGCGGCTCGACCTGCGGGGCTCTATCGACGCATATGGGCCTCGTGCGTACCTAAACCCCTCGATGAGGAGAAACTAGGTCAAAATAATAAAGCTTCCAGGGGGCTAACATCAATCCGAGCGACGGGAAAGACGATCTTCATCTTCGTACCGATGAGCAGCTATCTAGGCTGCATCTCTTTGAACATGCTTTAAAACTGTCTCAGAAATGACTGATGGGCGTTCTCAAGGACTGAAAATTGCACTGGCTCGGGGCCGGTTGACAGGGGCACCAGCGGGCCTTGTCTGAGCCCGTGAGGTGGTGATCGGTCATTGTGGTCTGATTTCGCAGGGAGTCGCCTGGAGGCTGACGATGTCTGACGCTGGCTCGGATTTATAATAGCCGATTGAGAGGCGATCCTAGAGTCATATGGTACTCGCGCCTGGTTGCGGATGGCTGCTTCATACCACTGCTGGCCAACTTGGTTGGCCTGCCGTTGCCGGTGCCATCTCGCGCAGAGGAATTAGTTAGTAATACCACAGAGCTTAGATTGCAAAGTTGATAAGTCAAACGGCTCCCTGGCGAGAGTGTTCAGCTTCTGATGGTCTATCTTGGTATGTTCAACTTTGATTGAGTTTTTGCACGGCTCGCCTTTTTTCGTCATCCCGCAACAGGACCCAAGGCCACTGTATGGGATTTAGCACACAACAAATGGGTTCCAAGGCAGCATAGTAGACATTGAGCTGGACATTGAGCTGGTGGTCAAAAGCAGAAAATGATTCGGATGGATGTTGGTGTTGAGCAATCTCGCAGCGTTCCTTGGCCCGCTCTATATGCCATCGCCATAGGATCTTTACCTACATAGGTGCGTCGCGGCTGACATGGAAGCTCTCCCTTGAAACAGTCAATACGTCGAAGAATGCACTGTGATGCAGTATGTACCGCTATACAGCTGACCAGTGGGCTGTAAGAAGGATATCTCATTCTGTATCACTCTTTGCATTCAGTGGGGTGTGCGTTGGGACCATGCATTAGGGGGATGACTGGCTGCTGCTGTAGGTAGCATAGCTGGCCAATTGCGAGTTGCCTAGGGGCATTTCAAAGGGCGTGTTGGGTCATGGTTTGCTTCATGGCTAAAGGTTCTGGATGCGACATGCGGCATACGTTTGCGCTTAAAATAAAGTCGCTCTCTCGGGCTCTATGTCCAGGATATACATGAAGCATACAGGATATTTGGAGAAATGATCTGCGGGACCCACATGGTACATATAGGTTCCTGAACGCGAGGAAGCCTGGTCCTTTTGCTTCCTCGCGCTAGGTCTTGTATCTAGAGTGAACTATAGTTGTTCTTAATATTCATTATTCATCTTGAAACACTATCCACCTCTATGTATACGTGAGACCCTCACACTCTATTGATACACTCCTAGGAATCTTTTGGTGGTTCCCAGGATCTTGCGGCCCAGATGTAAGGGCAGAGTCTCGCGTATATATATAGGTGAGCCCATATGCATGTGAGTCCCGCATATCGTATCTCCACTCATTGTAGATGCCTCGTGTATATCCCTGACAAATGTGACTAGAGCTCCCAGGACATAATAACCTCTTTGTGAGGGTCTCACGTATACGTAGATGAGGACAGCGTCTTCCAGGTGAATAATAGATATTAAGAAAAGCTATAGCCGACTCTAGATATAAGACGTAGGGCGAGGAAGCAAAAGAAAGGTAGCTTCCTCGCGTTCAGGGGAACCCATATACACCATGTGGGGCTCGCGCAGATCATTTCTCCAAACATCCTGTATACTTCATGTATATCCTTGACAAGAGGACCTGCAGCTCCCGAAGTGGACTGTATAGCTCCGGTGAATGAGAGGTGGTAATCGTGCCAAGCCCACCAACACCTACCGGTATTGGTGGGCCTCACCGGATCACAAATTTTCCATTTTTTATCAATTTTCTACCCATTTTATACCACAACACGATGTCGGAACAAAATGAAAATATTGAGATGAGAACTCTACAGGCCGTAGAAGCCTACTTCCAAAGCGATAAGCCCAATTTAGCTAAATTGGCGCGAGAATTCGCTGTTCCCCACAACCGACTACGCTTGCGCGTTAGTGGACGGAAGCCCAATTCCACCATTGCTAGTCAAAGTAAGGCATTAAACCTGAAGCAAGAAAAAGCATTGATATCCTGGATCTAAACACTACGCCATTCATATACTGCAAATACCGCCGACCTCATTGAGCGCTCTGCAAACCAGCTTTTAAAAGATGCTGGTTCCGATCGGCAGGTTGGCCGTAGCTGGGTATACCGATTTATCAATCGCCTACCCCCAGATATCCGATATATTAGCCCAAAACCTGCTGAAAAAGCAAGGGCTGATAGCGAGAATTATGGCGAATTGCTCCTATGGTTTAATAGCCTCGAAAAGGTTATTAAACAATATGGATTTAAGAAAAATGAGATCTTCAATTGGGATGAAACCGGCTACCAAATTGGCCAGGGAAAGCGACAAAGGTTATTGCTCCGGTAGGAGCAATAACCAATCAATAACCAATCCTACCGGTGGTCAAAATGAATCAATTACTGGCATTGAATGTATCGCCGCCGATGGTTGGGTTATGCTACCATGGTTTCTACCTAAGGGTAGTTCCCAAATGGCAGAGTGGTATGAAAATATCACTATCCCCGATTTTCGAATTAAACCTACCCTAAATGGCTCGATTAATAACGAGACTGCATTTCAATGGCTTTGTTCATTTCATCATACTTCAATTTCTCACGTCGACGAGGGTAGGCCAAGGCTTTTATTGATGGATAACCATCGTTCTCATACTACCATTGAATCTACTACCTTTTGTAAGGAGAAAAACATCATCCCATTTTACTTCCTACCCCATACAACCCATCTCTGTCAACCGCTAGATGGTCAAGCTTTTCAATGCTTAAAACATTACTTCCGTACCGCCAATAACGAAGTGATGATATGGGGTGGAAGTGTTGCTAGAAAGCGGGATTTTTTCAGGATGATCGCCAATATCCGGAAGCAAGCTTTTACTAGCAGAACCATCCGATCTTCATTTAAATCTAGGGGTATTTACCCCTTGAATCCGGAAGTCGTACTTGGTCCTTTACGCCAAATACAAATCGAGAATGAAGGGTCCCCCCTTAGGATTTTCACGCCTTCTCCCCCCCCAGATATCCCAAGCTCAGTCACCAATTCGCCGCCAGATACTATCGCCCGGGTTAATAAGCTTAATACTAAGCTTATTAAATATCTGGAGAAAGCTGAAAATACATCTGCGCAGGCAAAACGGCATATTCAACGAAGTATGGATGCAAATGCGTATCTATCTCAGCAGCTTGATTTAGTAGAGATCTTTAAAGAAGTCTCAATACCACAAATCAGTAGCAGATATTCCAACAAATGGGCAATCGATTCTTGGAGCACGGAATTCAGTAATATCACCTATATGCGCCAATAGGATGATAAAAAAAAGGGCCGATGGCGATGCTAAGAAGCTCCAGAGGAAGCAAGCTAAGCAAGCCAAGGAATTGGAAGTTGAACAGCAGGCCCAAAAGGCAAGGGATTTAGCTGAGGGTGAGCATGAAGCATTAATGGCGGCAAGAGATAGTAATGGTGGAAGTTGGTATATAGATAGTCATGGTGGTTATTTGTAAATAGTGGTTTAATGCATTTTTAATGGAAGAATTTGTTATCCGGTGAAAATTTGTTATCCGGTGAAAATTTGTTATCCGGTGAGGCCCACCAATACCGGTAGGTGTTGGTGGGCTTGGCACGATTACCCTGGGAGCGTTGGTTACTACTTCTGGGAGCAATCAATAGCGTGCCTGGGAGCATGGAATCTGGGTGTCAGGGATATACATGAAGTATACAGGATGTTTGGAGAAATGATCTGCGGGACCCATATGCAAAAGGAACAGGCTTCCTCGCGTTCAGGGGAACCCATATGTACCATGTGGGTCCCGCAGATCATTTCTCCAAACATCCTGTATACT